CTCCTCAGAAGGAAGGTTGGGCAATCTTACTTCCATAGTGATACTGCCTCGGAAATCAAGGAGGGGTCGCTGTGAGTCAGGTCCAACTCAATGGCACATAACAACAACAACAACAACAACATACTTATACACTTGCATGTCTACATACATGTAACTCTATTTTTCAGTTGTAAATATCACAACATTCACAAAAATGCTCTTTTTTGTAGTGTACTTTTTAGTAACATCATTTACTTTGGTCAAGCTGTGCACATTTAATCCATATTTGGTGTTATATTTCCCCAAAACAGAAGTAATAGATAATAGTAGATAGTGTCTAATAATAATAGATAGTATCTACTATCTAGGGAGCAATCTTTCCCCCCACACCACCATCCTGATAAACACCACTGATATAGTGCTTCAATGAACATACGTATGCATATGTTCTACTGTGCCTTTAGTATTAGATCTCTAGGGAAAATACCCAGAAGTGGGATTACAAGACCACAAAGTACTTACATTTCCAGTTTGTTAAGGAAGCACCATACTGTTTTGCATAATGGTTGTTACCATTTTATAATCCTATCAGCAGTGGATGAGAGTTCTAATCTCTCCATTTCCTCTCCAGTATTTGTTATCATCTGTCTTTTTTGATCAGAGCCATTTCAGCAAGGCTGATGTATAGACATGGTTTATACAGATAGCAGTATGATTGTGTAACTTGAATTACTGTTACTGTATCTAGTCATGGGTGACAATGTTCTCCCATTAACATTTGATATTAAGGCCTATTGCTAAGCACTGGGCTTTCTTTTAAGAGCACTAAGTCTGGCTTCCAGGCTGACTTGCTTCCTTCCCTTTCTTCCTTCATTGAGAAAACAGCTCATAATTTTATTTTTTTCATTTATAACAGTAAATGAAAATAGAGGAACAAAACCATGGGACTTGGTTTAAAATAAGTAAATAAATTAGCAAACACAACTATTAATGCACAAACAACAGAAGTCCAATTAGGTAACTGGGACCTCATAAAAATTAAATACCTAAGTGAATCTAAAGAGTAAAAAGAAAGCCTACAAACTGGGAAAACATCTTTGGGACTAACGTGCCTAATAAGGGTTTAATCTCTGAAATATACAGAAGACTTCAACAACTCAACAACAAAAAGATAAAAACCCAATTCAAAAATGGGCAAAAGACATGAACACACACTTCCCCAAAAATGCACATTCATATGGACAACAAACACATGAAAAGATGCCCACGATCATTACCCATTAGAGAGATATAAATCAAAACTGTTAACAAGGTTGCTTTAATTTAAAGATAATGGAATTTCTGGTGTTAAATATCTTCTTTATACTTTTCTGTAATGTTTCAATAATTTAAAAGGAACATTTGTTATTTTCTTAATGAGTAAAATTTAACAAATCTGTTATTGTTTTTAAACAGAAATTACCCAAACCAAACTCACTGCCACTAAGTGCATTCTAACTCATACTGGCCCTATAGGACAGAGGAGAACTGCCCCACATGGTTCAAGGCTTTAAATCTTTACAGAATTAGACAGCCACATCTTTCTTCTATAGAATAGGTGGTGGGTTCAAACAACTAATCGTTTGTTTAGTAGCCAAGCACTTTAACCACCATACCACCAGGGCTCCATAAACAGAAATTAAGTGATAGTAAATCATATTCTTTATAAAACAGTATACTATATAGTAGGTTTTCTTATCTATCTAAAGAATAATACAACCAATGCAAGAAAAGTAGAATACAAAGAAAGGACAATACATATTCTTATAAGTTCTTTAAAAAAGGAAAAGACATTTCTTGATTCAACAGTACTATACTCACCGTGCTACAACTAAAAACTGGTCAATCTGTCGATCTGTAAGTGGGCTATTTGGATCCCAAACTTTAACTTCCAATTTTGACTGTTCCCTGTCATCTGATTCTCCTGTTCAAGAACAAAGGAAATAGAGTCTCATTATTCACAAGGCACATCGTCACATATGGTTAATGATTATGGTTCCCAACTATTCAAAATGTTTAAATGTCAGGTACATGCTCACGCTTTTGGCATATTCTTTTCAGACAGCAGTTGTGAAAATTTTTATAAAGTGAACACCAACAACAAAACCAACCAGACCAACCATGGGATATCTTCATTAAGTCAATAACATGTACTTCCTGAGTAGTTTGAAGCACTAAGTCTCATGCTATAAGGAAAATAAAGACAGATAAGAAAGCAACCATGTCACAAGATGGTTAAACTATGATAAAATTTATGTATAAATAACTATGATACAAATGCAAAAAATAGGTGTGAAAAGAAACACATAGCTAAGGTTATAAGAATCTGAAGATTAATCACTTCAGGCTAGTGAGGGAATGCCACCATGAAAAAGGTGGCATTTCTGTTGAGATCTGAAGGGTATGAATGTACTGGCAGTAGCCAAGGACTTGAATAAATAATTAAGAACATGAACCAAGTCATGGGGCATTATAATGTGATAGGGAGAAAAGTAGCTCATTACTTTACATTAAAGGGAAAGAGAAGCGGTAAGAGAAGTGGGTTATGAGTATATTACTGAAGATTCTGCAGCTTTAGCTGAATAGAATTTATTTGGAGATACTGAGAAGCTCTTGCTTTTTTAACAGGAGAGTGATAAGACCCATACTTCAAATCATACACTTTGTAACAGTATATAATTTGCTCTACAGAAAAACATGTTGAAGACAGAGAGACATATCAAACTCCTCTAAGAGTCACAGCTGGAAGTGAGGAGGGACAAAAATACAGCAGTGAGAGTGGTCAATAGAGAGTGGAGAGAAGATTTTGGCATGTTGGTGACAGAGTAGATGTGCACAGTAGATTTCAAGTCTTGAGAATTGCCTGCAAAGTGTTGGCATCAAGAAAAAGAAGAAACAGAAACAAGAGGTAAGGTCTAAGGGAAAGACTAAAGATAATGAAGATGTTGTGTTTTATGAGTATCTCATAAGGAGATATGGCCATCAGGCAGAACTAGATGCCAAGACAAAGGACAGGAATGGAAAACAGGCTTGGAAGTCAAACGGAATTTTGATTTACTAGTTATGGGTTAGATTTTCTACTAGGCTGGGAGCTCTCTGATGACAGGGACTGGCTTTGTTTGGTTTTGTTTTGATTTTAACACAGCATCTCTAGAATCAGAGAGACTGCTCTGCACCACTGACATCTCTACCCTAAAACTCTGGTGACTGACAAATGCAGGCTATGGGCCTCGAATGTGTTCAGTTCCAGTGTAGGAGCAGACCTGTATCAGTGACCCAAACAAATAAAGGGGGAGGTCAGAATGGCCATCCCACTGGCAGTCTCCTAAGGCAGCCACTGCTGTCATTGATGGAATTGTCCACTCAGCTCTATTCAAAAGCAGGTAACAGGAGAGTCAATTCCTGCCCACAACCTAAAGAAGCACAAACAGAGCATAGAGAGTAACTGGCCACAAATCAGAGGATTTCATTTGCTTCATTTTTATTTATAATTCTAGCATGCTGAGCCAAGGTATTCGACATTAGCTTCACTTTTAAAAATCAGTTAAGAATGAAAAAGTTGAAAACTACAAGAATTCTGAGAAAGAAAAATGACACAATTAACTTCCTTGTGTCTTAAAATGTTGTTTTTAGCTGTCATCAAGTTGGCATCTAACTCAGGGCAACCCCAAAGCATAACACTATCAGACTACTGCAGTCCATAGGGTTTTCATTGGCTGATTTTTCAGAAGCAGATCACCAGTGCTTTTATCGTAATCTGTCTTCGTCTGGAAGCTCAAATGAAACCTGCTCAGCATTATGGCAACAGGCAAGCCTCCACTGACAGACAGGTGGTGGATGCCCTGAGGTACAATGGACAGAAACTGAACCCAGGTCTCCCACATGGAACGTAAGAATTCTACCACTGAACTACCTACCACTGCCCCTCTGTAACTAAAAATAAAACTTAATAAAAACAGTAATAGTAAAAATAAATCTGTATTTGAAATTTACACTGCATCTATGCTGTTATACAACACACAAAATGGAGTTTTTCAGTATCAAGCTCCTCCCCCTATATACTCTAAAATGTAAGAGTAAACCTTATATTTTATTTTTCCAAGTCAAGGTTGCCAGAATTAATACATTTCAATTCTATCCACATATTTATTCTATAGAACACAGCAGAAAGAGCTCAATAGTAGAGCAATTCTAAATAAATTCACCACAAACAATATTAAAAGACTCTTGGACACATTTTACTAACACTAAAAACATAAGACAACACCTTGGAGCAACAAAAATGAATAAATAAAGAAATGGTCTGTGTCACTCACTCTACACTAAATAAGGCTCCTCTACTTTGAATTTAGTATATAATTACATTTATATCATAGATTGATCACTTCTTCACAGAAGAAAAACTTTTAAGAAGCCTTTGAATGCACTATTTAGAATCTGTGTAATAAGATTAAATAAGAAAACATCTTTGGAATGGTCACGGTATGAATCAGAGACAGAACCAAAAGAAATTTTGTGCTCTGGCCATCTTCTTTCCAGTCTTTGCAGTAATGCTACTTCTCCATTTATGATAATCTAGCCCATTCCAATTTGCCCAGCTCACAAAGATCTCCCTAACCTCTAAATTCCCACAAAACATATTCACAACTAATTACATGACTGTATATAGCTTACTACTGTTGATTTATACAATGTGAAGAAATGAAAATCCAGCAATGATTTTAAGTGTACTAGCCTTAACCCTCCAGCTAAAGTTAAGATTTCTAGGAAGAAATGATCAAGTATTTACTCAGTATATTTATGCCCTAAGAACACAGTCTGGTGATCTGCATCTACGAATATTACAACGATGAAAATCCTATGGGGCTGTTCCAGTGTATAACATATGGGATCACTATGAGTTGGGGGCTAACTTGATGGCAGCTACCAATAGCAACAACACAGTATATAATGTTATTCAAAGACACTAAGAATTAAGATTATATGGGACTATATCCTAGAGGCCCTTTCCTAGCCAACTGAAAACATGCTTTGTTCTAAATACAAATTCACCTTATTTGCACCAACTGTCAGAACATAAAGAAATGTTTAGTTTAATTCAGAAATATACAAGGATATTATTATTTATCACCATTTTTGTGTAATACTATACTAAAAGTTCTGCCTAATGCAGTTAAGTTATGAATCAAAAGAATAAAGAGATATAAAAAATTCAGTGGCAGACTATGTGAATGTTAGCCTACATGACCACGAGAGCAGAAGAACTAGATAGTGCCGAGCTATCACTGTAAACCACTCAAAAAAGGATTAGTGCAGGAGATCCTGGAGAGTGTGGGAGAAAAATATGGAACAAAACTCAAAATCACAAAAGAAATCAGGCCTACTGGTCTGATAGAGGTCTATCACAGGTCACCCTTCAGGCCTGGAACTGAATTCACTCCCATGGCTTCCAGTCAAGCAACAGACAGGCATATGTTGTTGTTGACGTTAGATGCCATCGAGTCGGCTCTGACTCATAGCAACCCTGTGTACCACAGAATGAAACACTGCCTGTTCGCCCGTGTGCCATCCTCACAATCCTTGCTATACCTTAGCCCATCACTGCAACCACTGTGTCAATCCATCTTGTTGAGGGTCATCCCCCTTTTCGCTGACCCTCCTCTTTACCAAGCACAATATTCTTATCCAGGGAATGATCCCTTCTGATAACATGACCAAAGTACGTGAAGCGAAGTCTGGCCATTCTTACTTCCAAGAAGCATTTCAGCAGTACTTCATCCAGGACAGATTTATTTGTTCTTCTGACAGTCATGGTACTTTCAGTATTCTTTGCCAACACCACAATTCAAAAGCATCAACTCTTCTTAGGTCTTTCTTATTCATTTTCCAGCTTTCACATTTGTATGAGGCTACTGAAAATACCATGGGCTGGGTTAGGTGTACCTTAGTCTTCAAAGAGACATCTTTGTTCTTCAGCACTTTAAAGAGGTCTTTTGCAGCAGGTATGCCCAATGTAATATAACCTTATACAGACAGGCATATAAGGCTGACATTCACACCAGGTAGATACACTCCTTAGAACACTCAATCATGGGAGATCAGAAGGGCAGTACTTGCACAGGGCAATAGTTCAGAGGGCCTGAATGCACAGGAAAGAAGGACGCTAGGAAAAGGTAACCACAGGGAGGAAGTGTGAAGAGAGCATATTATGGGGATCGCAATCAATGTCATGAAACAAAATGTGTATGAACTGCTGTATGGAAAATGAATTTCCTCTATAAAATTTCACCCAAATCACAAAACTTTTTTAATAGCAATTTCAGTTATATAAAAACACAAAAACAGGCAAATATATAGAGATCAGATTCTCTTAGTGGATACCAGAGGCAGGAGAAGGGGTAAGGGAGGAAAGTTTTTGTCATAGAGCATTGAATTTTGGTTTATGGTGCTGAAAAATCCCCACTGATGAAGGGTAGGGTTGCAAAGACAATTAGAGTAATCGCTGTCAATAAGTTGTATACCTGTAAAAAGTTCAATTGGGAAAATTTGTGTAACAAATAGATTTACAACAATCTCACACACACACACACACACAAAACCCTTAATGGCATTCTAAACAAAATAAGCACTGTTCGTTTTTTGTTCTCTTTTTTAAAACAACGATCACAAAAAAATAAAACTGGAGGTACATTTAAAGTACTTATGAAACTTTCAAAAAAAGGTAAGATGAAGAGTAGATAAATAAGAGTATAGATTTAAAATCGTATGGCTAGCATTTCTCACAAACATTTCAATAGGTTAAATTAATCAGAATTTTGTTTTGGAAGTCAATAAAATGATGTGAATATGAATGAATCTCTATAAACTAAGAAATTTCACTACAAAAATAACAGGAGAAAGGATAAACTGGATGAGTCACAATAT